TTTGAGAATGCCCAATAAAACACTGATCTTCAACGATTTCGCGACCTGTAATCGAATTTTAATGATTTTAGATTGGTTGAAATCTTCATATAAAGATGATTACCTTGGTAGTAAAATTATCCAAAACAAGATTAAAATATAGACCAGCACCAAAATCCTTTGGGAAAACATTTTTTTATGATCTTTGCTTAGAGATTTAAGGGTTTAAAAAAAGTCCACTTCCGACGATTTATCTATATGCATAGCTTTATGAACTTTTACACAAAGTTTCTAATAAATTATACTGTTTTTGTATTAAAGAAGGTTAATATATATAAGGATAGTTACGTATTACATTAATTTTTATAATTATTTTATTATTGGTCAGTTTTCTAACTGGTTGGTTATGGGTAGTGATGTGCCATTTATATAATACCCAAATTTTTTTCGCGTATAGTACGTTGTAAAAGTGCAATTTATGCACCGGTCCTGGCTAATACAACTATACCTACTAAAACTAACTAAAACTACTCTAACCGGAACACCACAACTAATACAACCAAACCCCCAGTAGTGGTAAGGCAATCAGAAGATTTGGTCCAATAACCAAGGATCCTACTGCACTAGAATCCCTGCATTAAATTGTCTTTATTTAATTATGATTCTTATTTGCCTATTAACTATCTGCTCTCGTTAGTTATATACAATGATCAAGGCGTGGAAAGACTTGGTCCAAGTAACTAGGGTTATTTGGGTTCTTAGCGATAGTGTCAGATTAGAACTCTTGATTATGTCATGAATCTCTTAATACAACGTCACAGGATTTGGTCACGAATTCCTTTCGTAATTATGTATTTCACTTATCGGGAGGGGGAATTTGTAGAACAAACGCTTCTACTTAAAGAACACTAGTCACAAGTTAAGTACTCTAATTTCTTTAACTTGGAACTTCGAACTCAACCGAGTTTTATACTATTAGGGTGAATTGTAAGTTAAATACTCTGATTTCTTTAACTTAGAGTTTTGAACTCAACTGAGTTATCTTTATTCAGGGAAGAGTCTGAGGATATATATCTCTTTTTTACATATGTAACATAATAACAAGAATACTAACGATACTATCGATTCTAGCTATTCTAATAATTACTGTTATTACTATAATTCAGGTAATCAACATAATAATAACTATCTTAAGAATCCTGACAATCCTAATAATACTAACTATTCTGTGAATTCTCGAGATTTTCAGAATTCTTGGAATTTTCAGAATTCGTACAACATCAGGAACCGCAGTAATTTCGGGGGATAATTTACATTTTCACAACGTACAGTACGTATAGTGCGTATCTAGCGATTTGATTGGCTGGTAGAAAGGATTGGCAAAAATTTTCGCATACAGTACGTACAATACGTATATATAGTATGTATAGTCATCACTAGTCATGGGTCTCTGACCGACCGGTGTCGGTCACGGTCATGACCGGTCATGACCGGTCATAACCGTAACCGTTGCCATCCCTACTTGTAGCCAAATATGGCAGCTGTTGCAATGATAAGTTATTTGTGAAATTGTTAAGAGGATGGCTGAAGGCAAATTTCAAACACCAATGTCTTGGGTGCTAAATTTTTAGGTAACCAAGTAATCGCCTTTTTGGAGACATAATGGAAATCGGAGAAAGCACCGATCGCAATCTTTATTTCATTGATCGTGTCGTTTGAGCGTCACCTCGATCACTAGCTAATTACATTGAGGGAGGCGCTTGAGAACGGCCTTAGTCGACTGACTAATTGACATAGTAGATTTGGTTGACACGTGTTTAGTAGCATGGGATCAGGATCGGGTTCGTGTAACTTACGCGTTGCATGATCGATCATCATGTAATATAAATAGAACAAAGGTTTTTAGTAGTCGAAGAGAGAGCGAACGATTAGAATAGAATAGTCTTTAGTAATAAAGAAACGTCTAAACTATAAACTGTGTGTTTACATATCGCATTGTACGTGGTATTTGGGTGGTAGTATCTGGTACGATACTCCAGTCTTCGCTGTTAAGCAAAGCGAGTCTCTCCAGTAAGATTCAATTGAGAAATTTCTATCTTTATTTCCAGAAATTATGATAATAGCTGTAATAATATGGTCGGCCCGGTCTACCGGGCCGAGTAATTTTATCGGCCGGGTCGGCCCAAGTGTTTGGCATCGGCCCAGATTACTACTTGGAATCTGGGACTGTCATGATTCAATGTTGATGTGGATGTTTTTGTTGGGATAAGAAGGGTGCTTACATTAAGGTAAGTGTAGGTGTTAATAGAACTATTATTGTATCGATTGGATTGAATACTTAGATTACAGCTGTTCTCATAAATTCTGGAAATTTAGAAAAAGTTGACCGACTGAATATTTGCCGATACGATAAGTTTTGATTCAGCAATGGTAAACTTTTGATCCGGATGTAGTTATATCCCGAATAAAAAGTTTATCACTGCTGAATCAAAACTTATCGAATCGGCAAATATTCGGTCGGTCAATTTTTGCCAGATTTTCCAGAAATTATGAGAACAGCAGTAGACAATAGGCTATCTAAAAAGATTGAAGAATAGTACCAATTAGATTTCTTTGTATAATCTATTATGAGCAATGTTTATTGTTCGAGCGAGAATGTGGCTTCATAATCAAATTTAAGTTTTTTAGAAGAAAACTGTTTTCTAGTAATTTGATTGGCATCATTCATTTCGTTATTCGAAGAAATCTGGTTGATGCATATGCGATGGTCTTTTACAGTATTACTGGGGCAACTTAAATCTGGATTTAATTATAAGATCCGGATTTAGTTGTAAGATACGATTTTATAATTAAATGTGCTAATTTTGGGTTTCGGTTTTGACTTTTTCGTATGAGCAAAAATTTTTGATGGAATATTGTGATCATTGTTACGACCAGGGGAGAGACTTTATATCCACTGAGCCAATTTAGCTTAGGGTCGTAAGCATTAAAAGAAATAAACTAAATATTTATTAACACACACAAGGCATCAATATTCCAAGCGATACAAGTAAGTATCTTTCTACCTAGTGTACCCAGTACACTATAGTTCTTCCAAATATGCCTTGTTCCAACTCAAAGACAACCTAAAACTTATTATCCAACCTTCTAAACTCTGAAATCTTACTTCCTCCTATTTACAAGAATATCGCTCTACATATATATACTATTAGACTCTAAATAAGCTATATACTATTTTACATACATGTATTATTACAATATAAAGTCTAATTAAAGTATACTCTACGACTATAAACTTTGCATAAACTATTTTAAGGTTACACAACTGTTACGTTATTTTGCGTAACAATCATTCAAATTATGTGATACAATAGAATTATAACCACTCCGAATAATCAAATATGTTGCGCAGCGTCGCTATATTAATAAGCAAGTATACAATTAACCAACAAAATGCTTAATTTTATCATCTTTTCATAAACGATTTCATAAGCAATTTAGAACTCAGAAGACAATCAACCAATTATACAACCATACAATTCAATTTTACTTGATTATTTAATAATTTCGCAACATCACATAGATGATTGGATCAAATTTTTATGAATTATTACGATTTATTTTTAACAATCACCAAAATTGACAAAATCCGCCCATACGTTGATAAATAATTACTTATCACGTGACCCGGTGCACTATAACTAGGGATTGGAACCGTTTAACCGTTTAAAAATTGTTCCATAATTCCGGGTAGAATTATGTTGGTCGTGGGCCGGAATTATCTTAATGCCGGCCAAGTTAAACGGTTAAACGATTAAACGATTAAACGATTAAGAAAAATTTTAGGCGGTTCCAATCCCTAACTATAACACAGTGTTATAAATATAATTTTTCTAAAATTTATATGATATTGTCGTGACATCTGCCGAAGTTGGAACTTCAGGCACGTACGTACGTACGTACCTGAAGTTGGCACTAATGCGTGCAGGATGATCTATTTCAGGGGCTAATTTCAGTCAGGTGCAACTTCAGTCACCTGAAGTCACGACAATACCACACTTTTACATAATATAGCGCACACCCCAATTGGCTTGCTTATGCGCTTATTAAACTAATTTTAGCATTACTAATATGAAGCATAATATGCCCTGAATTCGTATTATTGATTACAATCGTGCGTTAATTAGTTTTATTTATTCTGGAATATCTCGATTAGCTCCCTTCTGACGGGTTATTCCCCAAGGTTGAATAAAGTGTTATTCTTCGTATGATATAATGATGGTGATTTTAACTTAAACAATGTTATTTAATTCAATCGGAAGAAACTACTTACCAGTATAGTAGGTAATTAATTAACAAGTAATACTTGCATTAGGGATTGGATATGACTACTCAAAATTATAGATCTTTTGAACACCTCATGCGTCTTGTTTTATAACAAAATTTAATTCCGTTTAATATTAGTTTTAGAGCTTAAAGAAAGGTATGGTTTATTCTAAAATCTTGCAAGAAAACTTTTTTGTTAGAAACCCTAGAAGTATATTCGTGTAAATACACAGTATACAAATAGACATTCTCCAAATTTTAAATTGGATTTATTTTCAAAAAGTTATAATCTGATTTATTTCCATCTTTTGGGAACGTCTAAAGCGGAGATAACTTATATAAATTTATATTTTATCGAATTAACTTTAGAATTAGGGCCACATAGGTTAGAGTTTGTGTAGGGTTAGAGGTGTTTATATAAATAAAATTGCCTCCCCGACATTTTTTATTTATAACCAAAGTTGGTTATGGCAGCTGTTTTATTAAAATTTTCACTTTTTTTATATCCATCTTTTGCTTAAAATTATAATAAAACTAGTGCTAAAAATAACTTTAAGGCAGGATATTATCATTGCCATGAGTGGCATAAAATCATAGACTGCTACAGATGAAGCATAAATAGACTATTTAAAATAAGATATAAAATACAATTAATTTATAGAAATTATATGTATTCAATAAACAAATAAAATTTATTAACATACCATGATGGTAATAAGTGGAATACTTTTAATAAAAATATCTATGGATGTTCGAATTAAAGCCAGTCTAAGTTGTTTCTTAGTCAGAAAATTTTCCGTCATGTCGTCCAAAATTATCAGAGAATCACTGTCAGCAATTATGAAAAGAATATACATTAACAGTGCCGTAGTATTCACTTCTTCATTACTGGCAGCCACTTCATTAACACATTTCATAAAAATATCTGTTAACTTTCCACTAACATTATTTTTTGGGTTATTTAGCGCATTTTCAATTATATTGCTACCGTTTTGTAACGTATCTTTAAACTTAGTAGAAATATGTGAGATTATTACCGCAATATTTTCTTTTGTTTGTATTTTATTGGACATTTTTTGTGTTATTGTATCTAACATTTTATCCAAAGACTCCGTTATTATTTTAGGTTGTGTCATATTGCTATCAGATGACTCTATTATGTCAGATTGTGTCATTTTCGTATCAAATTGATTTGCCTTAGATTTCTCCAAAGTCTCCGTTGTTATCTTCTCCAAAATATTTTTAATTTCTGACTTAAAAATATCAGAAATTTCTTTGGACATCTCGTTGGAAATTTTTTCAGAAATTTTTTTTTTGTTATATTTTTTTGACATTTTATCAGGAATTAATTCTAATTCTTGAATTTTATTCCGAATGTATTCCTTTATCTTTTGTTGGAAAGGCATGTAGATAAGTTCGTTTAGTAATATAGTCTCTATTTCTTCTTGTATCACTTTGAAAATTAGTTCTACATTGTTGTTCTCTTTGTTCTCGATTATTTCAGATTTACGTTTTTTATCTTCGTTCTCGATTATTTGAGATATACGTTTTTTATCTTTATCAATTGCGCCTTTTATATCGATTTTAGAAAAACTATCTATTTTGTTTTTATCTTTGATATTTTTGTCTAGTATTTTGGAATTAAATCTCTTTGAAAAGATTACCTTGAACTTCCTGACCATGAAAAAGATTTTGACGCAATTATTAGTGTAGAAGATGCAACATTAAAATCTTCCATGCATATTTATTAATCTTAAAACGGAGGTCTTTATATGATTTCGAAGGATATTATAGAATGGCAAATAAGTATTTATGTTCTTGATTTGTAAACCACTTAGAATTGAATGAAATGATTAAGGCGTATGAAAGATTCAAAGAGTATTATGAAATGGATGGAATGGTAAATAAGTATTTGTGTTCTTGATTTGTAAACCGGGTTTATTAATTTTGATTAATAAATCATAAATAATCTTTATGTCCAAAGCGAAATGAATAATTAACGTGAATGAAATAATTCGAAGGGTTAGATAGGCTAAAAATAATGTTTTTGTATTTAAAAATTTTAGTTTAGCTGTATTATATTACTTACTGTTAATTTAAATAATACTTTAAAAGGGTTAATAAACTTATATGTATAAAGATTTAGTTTTTGGATACAAAATTTTGCACTACAATCTAATTGTTAAGTACTGTAGAAAGCTGCACCAACACTGTATACTGGTATAAGGGGAAGAATGACGACTCCGAACATGATAAAGAGAACCAATACCCGATTGTTATATTCCAAATTTGTATAATATAAAAATATTGCATTAATTTATTAATTATGAAGTACCATAGAATGTTGCATCAACATACTGTATAAGGGAAAGAAAGCAACTTTGGTACATAGTAAAAAGAGCCAATACCCGATTTTTATATTTAAATTTGTATAAAGAAGTAAAATAAAGTAATTCAATCAAATGTTGGAGATTCTCTTAAGGATTTATTTAACAAACCGGTTGTCTAACAATGACAGTTATTACAAAATCGAATGCAACTCAAAACTTATGTAATTTAAATGTGGGAAAAATAAAATACAAATGACTCTCGATATAAAATTCAGCCAAAATCTTTTTCAAAATTTTCTAATCGAAGGCCTTTATTATAAATATTGCATTATTGCGCTTTGCACAAAGGCGTAACCTATACATTTTATTTTGTCATGTAAAATCACGGAAAATTAAAACTATTTTTCTATTCTAAGATAATTTTATAGATTTCGAATAAATATAGATGTCCCTGATTGAAAAATGTGGTTAATAAGAATCGAGAATCTCTGCTATCATTAGTAGGACCTTAAAATTCTTATACTGGATCTCTGTCTCAATAAATTTAAAAAGAAAAATATCATTACAACAATAAGCCTTAAAAAAATACTTACTCGTATCATGATTTTAATCATGAAGAATGTTCAGAATTCTGCAATGCATAATTATATCCACACCAATTTTTTTTTTTTGTACTTTTTTATAAATAAAAAAAAAAAAATCAGTGTGAGAAAATTACACATAGAATTGTATAATTCTGGATGCTAAACACATCATAGAATTGTAGAATTCTAAGCGCCAATTCTTCATAAATAAATATTTAAAAAAAATTAAAAAAAATGCTTTTTAATAAAACGGTTATAAAAAGGATTTAATCTATTACATTTTTGTTGAATAAAACTTACCACTATAAACTATTGCAACAGCAGCATGTCTTCTAAAAAACGAGTAGGAAAAACTACTCTTAGTAATGAGCAGAGAAAAGAAATCATTAAGTTCAAAAATAAGAACCCCAACATTAGCCATGTTGATCTTGCTGCATGGGTAAAAAAAGAATTTAATCTTGAAGTACATTCGACTACTATTGGACATCTAATAAAAAATAAAAATGATATTGGCGATGATCCCTCTAAGAAAAGACAAAGAACGGTCCAGCATCCAGATCTTGAAAATACATTACTTAAGTGAATTCTACAAAACCAAGACAAAATTATATTAAGTGATGCAATTCTAATCGAAAAAGCAAAAATTTTTGCTAAAATATTAAAAATACCAGATAGCGACCTTAAGTTTTCACACGGATGTTTATTTAAATTCAAAAAAAGGCATGGTTTAGAACAAATAAAAAAGCATGAAGAAGATGCTTCTGTAAACGATAATGAAGTTGCAATTGCCATTCCTCAGTTAAAAGAGGTTCTAAAAGAACACGCATTAAAAGATATTTACAATATGGATGAAACAGGGTTATTCTATCAGTATATAAGATAAATAAGTAACACCAAGAGGAAATCAGACTTTGATCATATTGATCAAAGTCTGACTTTCTCTTGGTGTCACCAAAATTGATACTTATTAATTTCTCCTTTTTTCTTCTTTCATTTGTTAGTTTTGAGCTAGATATCACACTAGCAACTACTCGTCTTAAGGTTAAAAAAAAAGATAAAGAAAGGTTAACCGTATCACTTTGTGCCAATGCCGATGGGTCAGATAAATTTAGACCTCTTGTAATAGGTAAATCTCCCAACCCACGGTGCTTCAAACATATCAAACGCAACAAGCTCGGTGTCACATATAAGTCAAGTAGCAAGGCATGGATGACAACTGTGTTGTTTCAAGTATGGCTTAAAGGATTCAACTTGAAAATGACTGGTCATAAGGTAATCCTTTTAGTAGATAATGCCAGATGCCATTCTTCCAGTAATTTAAACTTTCACAATACTACCATCCACTACCTCCCTCCGAATATGACATCTCGCATACAACCTTTGGATGCCGGTATAATCATGTCTTTCAAGCGTCGCTACAAAAATTATTTTATAAAATGGTTGCTTGATAAGTATGAATCGGGAAAAGATGATAAATTAAATGTTCTTAATGCTATTAAGTTTATTGTTTAAGCATGGAAAGAGGTGTCATCAGAAACGGTATGTATATAGATAGGATAAATTACTTTAAAAATAAAAATTATCAGAATTGTTAAATTAATAATAGTGAAATTAGGTTTCTAAAAATTAAAAAATTATTCATTATTTGTATATTTTAGGTTGAAATAAATTAAATAGCATAATGTATCATCGCGAAATAATGCCCAGACATTATTTCGCGATGATACGTTTAGTGGTTTATTAAAATATTAATTTTGTAAAACTTAATGATTTGCACCTTCTATAGGTGCGTAATTGCTTCCGGCATACAGGGATCCTTCCAGTTGCTCAAAATAACGAAGAGCCTACTAATGATAACAATGATAATGAGTTAATGGAAGAGATAAAAGTGGATATTAAAACACTTAATTTTCGAAATGCGATGGATCTTAAAGTCTATATTAATTACCTAGAAGAAGAAGATACAAATGAAGTCTTGAATGATCAGGAAATCTTAACTTTAGTCACTAATATAGAACCCAGCAAAGATTTAAATAATGACAATAGTAAAGAAGACGAAGACAACAGTCAAAAAATCCCTCTGATTACTCACAATGAAGTGCTAAATGCTATAGAGGTGCTGGAACAATACCTTATGCAACAGGATCTAAATGATACAGCCCAGTTAGATCACAACCAAGCATTAGTCAATTTGCAAAAGGCAATTAGAAAAATCTGTAATGCATCTTTTAGACAAGTGAACCTTGAAACCTTCTTTCAGGTTGATTGATTAACTGAGTAATGATTAGTAATTTTGGGGGGTTAAAGATCGTACATAAAATAACTTGAACAATACATAGATCGTAAAATTTATTGTTATATATAAATAAAGTAAATATAAATTAAAGGGTTATTTATAAATGTTAAAAAATAAAAAGAAAGTAAAAATTCTTTAAAAGGTTAAAGGGTATCAGTAATGTAGTAGAACTGTTAGTGTTAGAACCTAATAATTATGTGACACGTGATGACAAATATACTGTGATCTTATTGGCTGTTCCCTAATTGCAACCCCCTAAATGCACACCTTGGAGGTGGTCCTGACGACGTATATTTAGGGGGGTCTGACTGTATATCAGTAAATTTGGTTATTTGAAAGCTTCTAATAATTTTTTTTTTTTTTATATATTAATATAATGCCATAGTAGAAACTTTATTACAAATAGAAAAATAATTCTAAACCTAAAGATTTCTAACTACATT